ATTACTTGAAGATTAATTTTTATATTCATAAATTGCATGACACGAATTTTTAGTACAATTGTATTTTTTGAATATATGTTGATATTGTCTTCCATAAGCGAGTTGAGGTTGCAGTGCTATCAGCGAATTACACATTCCAGAGAGCGTTACACATCTTCAAGATCTTGAGATTTTTTTCAACAGCTGTTCATGTGTTATACACAGAGCTTTATCAGGAAAGTGTATTGTGTTGGTTTGTTTTGTTTTCTTTGTTTGTTTGCTTTTTATTTTTTATTGAAATGTCTGATGATTAAATAAAAAATGGAACAAAGATCTGTTGATATTAGCAGTTTAATAAAATTTTAATCAGTATATACAGTACACAAGAAAGAACATACAATTACACATAATTAGCACTGTGTATATATACATGGTTACAAATTGGCATATTCAAAATTAAGCGCAATCTCTGGGTATTGTGTTGTTAGCGTACTAGTACAAGTATTCATGAATTAGCGCTATATACACACTACACATGCACTAAAATGCGCTGTATATTGCATTGATAAATGATTTCTTCGCGGCAGCCCCGAAGAAGCGTATCGTTGTCAGCGTCAAATATTATATGAATCCGACTTTTTCATGTGTACGCATTCAGTACACCACTGAAACCTGGATCCAGTTGGATTTTCTCTCTTATCTCAGCTTATTTAAATCAGAGTACTAGGAGTACTGGAAAGCGCAAGGGAATGACATTCATTAAAATGACGAAATATATGGAGATCACCAACAGTGTTCAAGCTCACAAATCCAATAAGAATACAATTTTGGAGCAGAGCAAATACGGACCTCTAAAACATCAGGGGGGGGGGGGTCAGGTGCCATGAAGGAGGGATCATCCCCTACTGACCGGTCACAACCGCTGTGTGCTCTTTGTCATGGTCGGGAAATAACGGAAAAATCCGTCGACAATTCAGTGCCTTACAATTATACTATAAAACATCAGTTAGCAGATGTCTTAATAATATATATGTATTTGCTAACAAGGTCATTTATAATGTTTTGAATTGCTTTCCGATATAATAAATTAATCAAGTTTATTTTTGTTAAGTTATTAATATGATACACAGATATCTTTGATCCAACTGACGTACTTAAAATTTAAGCAAATAAGCGAATTATGATACTGTGTATGTAAACTTCTGCTGAATCTAGCCAATGATGTACATCAACAGACAATTAATTAATATAATCAAGTCTAGATAATTAATTATGTTAATTGGGGAAACTAAAAAAAATATTAAATAAATACAATTAGCTGTAGTGATAAGCTAGAATATCTCAATTAAATGGAAGACATAATTATATGTGACATCTCTATGTTTACAAACTTCCTGATAAAAATATGGTTACAAGTATTTTTAATAATTAAAAAAAAAGATGTAGAATAGAAGTGAATTAGTTTAAAATATATTTTATTCATTTAATGAAATGGATTGAACAGCAGGCATAAATGCCTATGATCGTTCTCTCCATGGGCCAAGGTACAATTACAAGTACATGAAAACATTGGAAAATGTATGAAGAGAACATTATAAAATGGTACATATTTGGAATTTATTCAGAGAGAGAGAGAGAGAGAGAGAGAGAGAGAGAGAGGAAGAGAAATGAGAAGAAAAAAATATAATTTAACAAATAGATAGGAAAAATAATAATTATATAATATTAAAGTATAATCAACAAAAGGAGAAAAAAACCAAACCAAACAAAAAACAAGAAACAAGAACATATGTTTGAGCAATTGTTGTTGACCCAGAGTAGGAAGAATTCCCTAACAGAGCAGTTAACATATAGTAAAATAATATATTTCCCATAGAATATAATAAACTAAAATTTCAATGAAAACCTCTTAGAGGTTCTTATAAAGGTATGTACCTTATCAAAAAATGAAAAATTATTATCCAGACTTAGTGAGTCTACACCATATAATATGTTTTCTATATTAATTGGTATGTTATTTTCATTCATGTATTTAATCAGTGATTGTCGTTGTAAGGCATATTGTTGACAATACAAGAAGAAATGAAGTGAGTTCTCATTTTGATATCCACAATTTGTACATATTGGTGATTCATTTATGTGATCTTTAAAAAGATCAGCATTAAGGTTGCTACATTTGTTCCTTAACTGGCAGTGTATTATATTTTCAATTCTATTACCATAATTGTAAAGTTTATATTTATTTTTCTGAATAGGAGTGGTAGAGTTTAATTTATTTTTAAAAGTTTGTAATGTAGGGGAGTTTTTGCAATCATCTGATAAATTTTTCCACAAGGATATTGTAGATGGTACAAAGCTGTTGTAGTATGACACTGTTCTAATGATTGGGATTCGATATGAATTAGGGTTTCGCAAATTATAATTATGCTGGATTGGCATACATCCTTCAAGCATATTATTCATGTAATCAGGGGTAAGATTATTAAGTATTTTAAACATCAATGTAAGCTTATGATTTTCCCTTCTTGAACTTAAAGTGTCCCATCCCAACTCTTTGTATAAGTTACTTTTTGATGTATTACACCTAATGCCTGTAATTATTCTTGCAGCTTCCACCTGCACACTCTCCAATAATTTAGATTGTTCTTCAGTGCAATTATCCCATACCACATCCCCATATTCTACAACTGGTCGAACAAATGATAGGTATATTTTGATTAAGGAGTCTCTCTTTAATTTATATTTTAGTGTGCGCAGTATGTTTAGTCTTAGGCAAGCTTTTTCATAAATTGTTGCTATATGTTCTGTGAATTCTCACTTATTGCAAGGACCCCTTGTATTTTCATGGATTTGCCAACACTACAAAACATAGACTGCAAATTCTCCGTTGCAACACGATCAGATAACATATCCTGTGCATGTAGAAATAAAATCCACTGATTTAATTGTCTCCCGCTTTCGCGAAAGCCAGGGAACATTAAATCTTGTTCGTCTGTCAGCCTGTAGTTCTGTCCGTCCGTCACAAAAACTTTAATCTTGGTCATATCTTTTGAATGAAAAGAGATAGGGCTTCCATATAGCACATGTATATTACCTGTAACAAGACCTTTCTAAATACACTATGATTTTTGACCCCGTGACCCTGACCTTGAAATTTGACTTACTTTTAAAAAAAAATAAACATTACTTTGAATTGGCCATAACTTTTGAATGAGAGGAGATAAGGCTTTGATATTAACCAAGTATATTACCGTGATAAGATCGAAATTCAATATCATTTTTGACCTCGTAACCTTGTCCTCCAAGTTTGACCTATTTTTCAAAAACTTAAAACTTGTTCATGACTTTTCATTGAGAAGAGATAGGTCTTTTAACACGTCTTTTGTCTGTGACAAGACCTTTCTACATACACTTTTTTTTTACCACGTGACTTTGAAGTTTGACCTTCTTTTCAAAAATATTAATTCTTCCTTTTAATTTCTGATTAAGAGATAGGGCTTTGATATTTGACATGTGCATTACCTTTGACAAGGTATTTCGAGCATGCTATGATTTCTTACCCCTTGAATTTGATCTACAAGATTGACCTAATTTTCCAAAAAAAATCAAATCAAACTTCTGAATGACACATATATTAGAATGTTCATATTTGACACAATATGCCATTTTTAATGACATCACAAAGACACCGAAAGCGGGGGACCACAATATTCTTTGAATTTGCTTGTTACTTTACTAATGCCATCACAGGCATTCGGTAGTTAAAAAAAAACTGACTTGTTTTTCTCCAGCTGAAAAAATATGGAAATTTATTGTAGGGATGGCAATCGATTGCAGAATTGCTAATCGGTTAACCGCAAAACATTCCGACCGATTAACCGGTTAGTTGTATCAAGATATACATTTAGACATTTTCTTTTCGTAATTTACACAAGAAGGCTAAAAAGACGTTAGAAGTTACATTCTTTTTTTTTTTTATTTCGATAGGGGAATTTTATGTACATAAGAGTATATTATATCTTAATTTCTATAGACAAGAAAAAATTAAGAAAACCATGAATCTTGCTTAAGAAATCAGACAGGGATAATTTTCCAACGCAGATGTTAAAGGGTGTAGGGTGGTTTCGCTCCGATTACGTGTTCGCGCCGAGTGGTAAGATATCTGATATGAATGGATTAGAGTGGCTTCCCCCGATTACCTGTAATTATAACTCAGGTAGTTTGTAATTAATTAATTAACCCCGAGCACTAATGTCGTGTTATGTCGGATAATTATCCCATTTTGTATTAATACTTATACTGAGGCCATTTTTAGCCAAATTATGACTATTTGAACAAATTTGATCGTCTATTTTGGAATAATTTAGGATTGGATCCTAAAATATAGGGCCTATATATTTAGTTGATTTTTCAATGAAGGTTGTCATTGTAATTTGTTTTTCATTTGATATACAATATTAAATTATGTAGAACAAGGATTCATTGCATGAAGACAATTATTCTTATATCCCATGGACATTCCCATTTCAATGCAGTTACCTTTTCTTTATAACTATCTTATATATATCTATCTTATATATATATCTCATATCTTCAGTAATACAGTAGAAGGGCGAAGGGTTGTGCATTGTCACCATAATCAAAATCATATCTGAACTTTCACTTTGTTAACAATTTATACAGCGTTCTTTATAATACTATAATTTTAATAGAACGGCAAAATGTAGAATTACTATAATTAAAAGTGCTTATTTTTAAATATCATTAAAAACACAGGACTAAGTCTATCTGATGACCTCATGGCCTTGACGTTGAAGTTTGACGCACTCTGGTGCCTTATAGATCACTTGAGCATCATATATATGTACTGACAACTTTCCAACGATTGATTTTGCATGGTTCTTATTTTAACCATACGCCATGGCATTCACAATTCTGAAAGAGGCATTTGCTCATCATAACTATACATTTAGAAATAGCTTAGTTTGGTTATTGAAAGAGTATTGAAACTCAAAGTGCTCGAATCATCTTATGATCGAGTTATCACGAACCGGAAAAAATGTCAAAACAAGACTCCACGTGCCAGTGTTTATTTAGGAAAAAATCGCAGCCACTTGACGTACTAACGCATTTTGACAATTCTTTTCAGCAGGTAAGAAGAAGATAATGTAGTTTTGACATCTGAATCAATGTAAATTTAGTCACCCGAGTATGATTTTCAGTTTTTCACGCACGATACTGTGATACTGTACATATAGAGCTTTCTCCTGCTTTCAGTTTCATATGTTTAGCTTAACCCAATAAACTTTCACTAAAACAATGCAAATGTTTGTTTGTTTTTTTTTTAATAGTCACTTACGGGAGAAATATTCTCATAAAAGAATTGTTTAGTTTAATTAAGAATATTATTATAATTTACAGAGAAAACCACTGATTTTGAGGGGACAGAACATTGGAGAGGTTACAGAGAGATGGAGTTCAGTGGAATACCTGGCAGAAAGGGGCGGGGCCAAACCTGTCAAAACCCACGTGTCACCAGTACCCCAGATGGACTTCATCAACAAAAACTTTGCATACAAGTAGGAATGAAATTTTAAAACTTTGAAGTCAAATATTCTGACATTACTTTTTAAAATAATTTGCTACCTGTCAACATTAGTTTTGCACATAATTTATAACAGATGAATTAAGTTGGAATGCAAATTGCCAAATTGCTCATGTCAATAAAAGTTATAATTACTCATATTTCATATAGTATACATGTAGAGCATTTTTACACAGGTCACTGCCATTTAATGAGTTTGTACGAAGAGCAGCAGAGGAAACACACAAAGAATTCTTCATCTCGCAGGTGAGACCAAATTACAGATGTTAAATTCTTACAAAGCTATTGTTATAATATATTTGCACCATTCTTACCTTACCTGGCTTTCCCTTGAATTTCTTTTGTAGAAACTTCATTAGAAAGAGTGCATTTTTAATATGTATATCACAACCATGGTCTCAAGCCTTGGTTTGGAGTCACATATAGCTCTCTCTCCTACCAGAGGCTGCTTGATCACATAATTGTCGTAATCTTGAATATTTACACCTCAATTTTGTGACGTCATGTTCAGCCAATGACAATATTTGTTTCAATCGCAATTGAAATCAACATTGATATCATCAATACACAGAAATATTTTGTAAACTGTGTTTGGGTATTGAAAGGTCGCAACAAAGTTCATTTTCCAACAATGCTTTACTTGCATTGGTCAATTATATTTTAATGAAGTACGCAATATTCTCTTCTCATTCAACCACAGCTAGAATAGGAGAGGATCGTACATTTTGGCTGTGATTTGCAAAGATGACCAATACAGACTTTTTAAAGAAGTTTATTTTTACACAGACAGAGAAGTACTACCTGAGAGCCCTGGGTGATGACGTTAGGAAGGACGTAGCTGACATCAGAGTACAGTTTCCCGAGCTCGCCCAGGATCTCGTTATTCCGGATCTGTTCCCGAGGGACAGGTTCTTCTCCAGCGTATTCCGCATAGCCTCCAGGGGACTCCAGCTGTGGACTCATTATGATGTAAGCCCAAATCCAGATTTGTTTTATCACCCCCCCCCCCCCCCAAAAAAAAAAAAAAAAATTAAACCAAGAAGTAATATACAAAAATCAAATAAACCAAGAAGTTGAATTATAATACATTGAAAATGACAAATCCCTCCCCCAAATTTCATCAATTTATTCCCCTTTTTTTCCAAAAATATGAAAAGTGACTGTACATATAACATTATCAATTCTTTTTTCATTCCTTGATGGTTAAGAATTGAGGAATTAAGGTCAAGATCTAGTAAATGAAAGATGCCTACAGATTTATCAAATTTGAAAAATAAATTCCTTTAATGATGCTTTACAACTTAAGCTTGGTCAAAATAAGGTGTTTCAGGGCGTAATTTGTAGATAAACAAGATGAGAAACCATATTTTAAACTGTCATTTTCAATAAAAAATTAAGAAAACCAGTCTTGAATATGGGAGTATTTTTCATATTCGACAAAGGAAATGTATCCAGATTGCCTACAGTCTCTCAGAAAACGGTAATTTGTATGTTCATGGCCCCATCTTTAAAATAATATAAAATTTAATATACTAGGTATCGGGATTACTTTCATACGATTTCAAATTGAATGCCTTGAAAATACCTTATTTTCTACATAATTCTGCTAAAGCCTTAAAGTAAGGGATGAAGAAAGTTGAAATTGATTATGACATCATAATGGATCTAGCTCCAAAAATTGTTCTAAAGTCATTTACTAGATCTTAACCTTAAGTTGAACTGAATTTTTATCATCAAATTTTCTAATTCTTCTCAGGTGATGGACAACATACTGATACAAATCAGTGGTAGAAAGAGGGTTGTGTTATTTGACCCCGCTGATGCTCACAACTTATATCTTAACGGTAACCCTAAACAATCTTTCAATAATTCATTAATGTTTTGTTTGAAAAACAATCATACTTTTTTCTTCCAAGTTTTGTGTAACTGGCATTTTTAACTCCCACCCCTTGATGAATCCAGGCACAGTCTGAAGAATTGTTGTTGTTAGTCAGTACCCCTGAATAAAAAAACTGCTTCTTAATTTTTTTTTTTTTTACCTAGGCCATCAGCTGCCATACAGGGTCATCAGTGTTTAACAAATTCAATCTAATTAAAATTAGATATTTGATCCACTCCAACTAAATCTCTATTGCTAGAGATCTAGTTGGAGCGCGGATCAAAGATCTAATTTTAATTAGGTTGTCACAAACTCATCATTTTACTGGTATGAGGTTTATACTGATCCTGAATAAGTAAATTTTTTCCTGCCTGGTGACGTTTGAGTACAAATTCCTTTTCACAGGTGATAAATCTGAGGTATTGGACATAGACAATCCTGACCCAGAGAAGTACCCCAAATTCTACTCTGCTGTCAGGTACGAGGGGGAACTACAACCAGGAGACATCCTGTTTATTCCAGGTACCATATTAATGTTTATATCTAGCTTATTCACATTATTACTTTTTCTTGTGTGTATATTTTATCTGAATTTAAGTTTGTAAGCATCATTTCAATTCTTTTTCCTGATATAAGTATGTCATTTGTCAGGGAAAGCATTGCGACTTGATGAAAATCATGGACAGTTGGACCTTGGTTAAACAAGATCTGTAAATTCAAATCACAATGATAAAATAAACAGGAACTTAATTACTTTGTAACTAAACATGTTCTGTATGCTATGTTTTTTCCTTCAGCTTTGTGGTTCCACAATGTAGTGTCGTTAGACTTTGGTGTGGCAGTAAATGTGTTCTGGAAACACCTGGAGGATAGCATGTACGACAATAAGGACATATACGGTAACAAGGACCTCCAGCCTGCCACGCGAGCGATGCAGATCGCTGACCGAGCCATCAAAGCTCTGGAGGAGTTACCTCCCGTGTATAGGGACTTCTACGCTAGAAGACTTGTCAGCAAGATAGAAAACAAGTGTTATATTAAATCTGATGTCACGTAAAGGTGTGGTTGTTATTTTAAAAATATATTTATTGTCCCCCTGCTTTTGCCAAGGCGAGGGTACATTAAATCTCATTGGTCTGTTAGGCTATCCGTCTGTCACAAAAACTTTAACCTTGGCCATGTCTTTTGAATGAGAAGAGATATGTTACAGAAAGAAGTTTTCACCCCCATTTTATTTTCGCCCCTTTCGCCCTCTTTATGATTGGGTGAATTTAAAACGGGAAGAATTCAAAGAACAAGTTTATGTAGAAGCATAATCATGAAGTGTGTATTCAAGTTTATAGTGTAGATTTGAATTTATTCAAATTTTTAAACACTTCTCCCCAAACATTTATGTTTAACCTTTTCAAGACTGTAATGATTTCTGCTTTTTCTTATCCAAAGTGGTAAGGTGAGCAATGTGGCTCATGGGTCTGTTTTTAATGCTATTACCTCCTCCAGTTTAAATTTAGTAAACCTAATGACACAGTGAATGACACTAAAACACATAACTCTGTTTTATCAGTTTTTCACTTTGTCAAACATTATTGCCATGGTTACTAGCTACAGAGAAGTAAATTTTTATGAAAATGTGCTTTTTTCTGTATGCTTTCAGTAAGACTTTGATGCAAGCAGATTACACGAAGATTCTTCCATATATTAGTTTTGATTTTAATGAATACATGTAATGGTGCCATGGATACTAAAACAGAAAATATTTCACGTAAATAATGCCTTTTCTATAGTTGTACTTGTGCACTTGCTTTCTTTTTTTATACTAGTATAACATAATATTAAATTTCTCTATCAAAAACTACTCTATTTTTATTTTGCTATGTCAATAATGTAATAATTTGAAATCCTCCAAAATAAATAAATGCACCAATATATTCTAGTTTTGGCATGTAAGAAATCTCTATACTCTCTCTCACCACTTTCTCTACTCACTCCCCTCTCACTCTCCACTCCCTTCCCTCTCCCCACTCTCCCTTCCCTGTCTCCCCCACTCTCCACTCCCCTTCCCCTCTCTCACCACTCCCTTCCCTCTCTCTCACCACTCCCCCTTCCTTCTCTATCCACTTCCTCCCCACTCCAATAATTCTCTCCTCCCCCCCCCCTCCCACGCCCGAGAGAGAGAGAGGTGGAAAGTGAAAGACATGAAGAGGGGAATGATGATCCACCTTTCCCTCCATATCCTCCCTTACATTCCTCTCCACACACTTATTCTTCTTTTCAATCATCTCTCACTCATTTACTCCCCACTCTCAGACCTCTCTTTACATAAATGGATGAAGTAAACGTACGTCAAAGCTCCACTTGTGATTTTTATAATTGTTTTGAAGTTTCTTGTATAATTGATTTACCAGAAAAGTATGTCTGTATATTTTTATATTCACGAGATAAATCTTACATGTGCGTGCATTGCACGCCAAGAACTCCCGACGCTTCTTTCCCTTGTAACATAAACATGTATGTCCGCTACACATTGTAATATGAAAAAATATAATAACAAAATACCATGAAATATTTATTATTTTAGTTATAAAAAAGACTTAAGGATTGTTCTATAAAATATAACCAGTTAGATACTTTTCCTGCAGAGGAAGCTTTACTTTAACTTGAGCTGTTTTTTTTTTTACTGTAGTCTTTACTTTAGTGAAGGAAATTGCAAAAATAAAAACTTCATGAGGCATTCTGGATTTCACTGTAAGTGAATATTATTATAATACTTTTATCAGGGACGTATTTAAACGTCTTTGGTTTTAGCTATTGAATTTTCTTTTATTTAATTTCTTTTTTGTGGACAACCTGGATGGCTGAACTCTACCGACCATGGATCACTACTCAACAATTACCAGTGGTCTAGTATGGGCAGCGGAAAGGGCAAAAATTACCATAATGAGAAAACAAACAGTTAATTTAATTTCAATGACTATAAAAACTTAACAAATGATATCCAATGCATAATCAACAGACCTTTTCGCATAACAAATATACATTAAAGCAAAACCAACGACCACGTACGTAACAAACATATATAAATGCGAAACCAACAATCATCTTTGCAGTACAAACGTACATAAAAACACGACAAACGAAAAAAACTTGACAATCGTGCACGCGTTAAATCTAGTCTTCCCGGCTCCCGGCTCCCGACGGTCTCGGATTTTTTTTTTTTTTTTTTTTTTTTTTTTTGGGCGATTTTTTTGTCGATGCACAGAAACTCTTTAATCTTCTCATGCACATTTTCTTTTTAAATGAATTCAATAATATGTAAAAACTTACACAAATTTGCGTATTTATTACTGAATCAGCAGTGTCATCTTCCAAAAAGTGGTAAATGTTGTACTCCGTTATAAATATGAAAACAAAAAACGAACATCGATACAGAGAGATGTAAGGTGTCGTAGATAGTAAAGGTGCATCGACACAGATTGGAAGATAATACATTCTTTATTACGACTTATATATTGATATAGCATTTCACACAAAAATATATCAAAAATATTATTTCATCTGAAAGTTATTAAAACTTCAACTTATTAGACGGGTTTGATTGACACATCCTTGCACCCTCACAAATTTTAATTTTATTCTTAATACATGTACTTAGGGAAAGTGGTTTGTTTCAATAACTTTAAGATGAAATAAAATTAACTTCAAATCTGTGTCAATGTATGTTTAGAGATTAAAAATATTGATATTGAGAAGACATTTCTTCTCAAAAAGATGGAATTAGCATTTCAGTGAAAATTGGTGGTGTTAATAAAAAAAAAATGAACATTTAAATTCTATAAAAATACATAACATCAAAATAATTTGATTAAAAAAAAAGATTTTATCAAAATTTTCATAAAAATAGCTAAATCTAACATTGTACTTATGGTAAAACCATGCAAAATGAAAGTATTGCATTGTTATACATTGATCGTTTTTGAAAGGAGGGGAACCAGAGAAAAAAATTCAATCAAGCTGAAAAAAAGATTTTAAAAATTGACAGGCAAAAACAAAAAGGAAATTAAAATGATATAGCCCAAACTCGAAAATCCTATGTCGTGTGTGTGAGTGAGGGTGTGTGTGGAGGGGGTGGGGGGTTAGGTTCAACTTCTTTCAGTACCAATTTTTTCCTAATATACATGTGCTATATAACCCTTTTTTGACCTTACTCTTAAAATTAGGAAATGTTGCTTCGTGCCTGTCATATGATATGTCACTGTAACGTGAAGTTATCATTATCATTATAGATTCTTGTAATATTTAAAGAATTAGGGAAAACCAATTTATGTAACAACAACAAAAAAAAAGGACGAAACGGCTTTCAGGAGAATGAGAATTTTTTTTTCATTTTATGTAAATTCTTTTCTTTCATTTGAACTTTTTAAGATAAATTACCCCCCCCCCCCCAAAAAAAAGGAAAAAATTAAAGGAGGATCCTAGGCATAAACATGACGTGGCAAAAAGTTCTATACGAATAAAAAATGTGTGGGAAATTTTTTTGCATACAAATTATCTGGCATGTAAATGAAGGTTTTCATTTATTAAAAAAAATATACCTCAGTTTGTTGTTTTTAATCGCGATAACACTGCCCATAACTTTTGATTGGCATGGAGCTATGACTCTCATATTTCAAATGTGTTTTCCTTGTAACAAGACCTTTCTTTGGGTGGCCAACATATTTGACCACTTGACCTTGACCATGGAGTTTGACCCAGTTTTGCAAGATTTTACCCAACTTTGTCCCTAACGTTTGTTGGTGATGAGGCTTTCATACTTCACATGTATGTATATTTATTATGTCAAAACCTTTGCATGGATAAATTATTTTTGACCTTTACTTTAGAGTTTGACCCAGTCTTAAAAAATTAAACTCGGACATTAATTTGAACATTTTGTTTCTTTTGAACGTATTTTATTGACAATACGTCAAAGGGATCGGACACAAGTTCCCGATACTTACTTATAGATAGTCCTCTACCACAGTTTAGTATCAGGGTCTTCATATTTTACAAGTATATCAATATGATGGCATAGTTCTGTTCCCTATATGCAAGATAAATTAAAATGCAAGAAAAATGTGTCAATATTCAAGATAATTATATCTATACATGCAAAAAAAATATGTATGCATGCAAGTTACTGATCTTATCAGAAAATATAAATTTAGTAAGGTTAAATTTTACTCACGCCACTATCTGAAATCTACATGCAAGATGCAATACCATTATGTTGACATGCGACTTATTAATAACATGCATGTGGTGGCATATTTCTGCCCCCTACATGCAAGATAAATTATGTTACCATGCAAGATAATTATATGAACATGCAATATATTTATGTCAACATGTAAGTTATTTAAATATGTTAGTTGCAACATATAGACATGCGACTTGTTTATGGCAACATGCAAGATAATTATGTTAACATGCAACTTACTTATGTAGACATGTATTTATGTCAACATGCAAGTTATATTTTAACAGGAAAATTATTTATGTCAACATGCAAGATAATAAGTTGCATGTCAACATCTCACAAGCTGACATAATTAACTCGCATGTTAACATACGTATCCTGCATGTTGACATAATTAAGTTGCATGTGTACATACTTATCTTGCACGTAGACATAAATTTAATAAGTTGCATGCCTACGTATTTATCTTGCATGTTGACATAAATAAGTCGCATGTCTACATAACTATGTTGCATCTTGCATGTATGATGTCAGATACTCACGTTGGCAAGTAGATTAATCTACCAATATTTAAATTATGTCTTCTAAGAAGACTGATAACTTGCATGTCGACATATTTATTTTGCATGTTGACAAAAATAAGTTGCATGTTGACATATTTATCTTGCATGTTAATATAATTTACCTTGCATGTTAACTTAATTTACCTTGCATGTAGCTATATAGGGGGCAGAAATATGCCATCATATGTAACCCATGTGTTAAAGGCTTCCTTTGGATACCAGCGATTTTGGTCTTTTTTGAAAAACTTAATCTTTGTCATAACTTTTGAATAATTGATGCATGGGCTTTAAAACCGGTATTTCACACGTGTATTTTTTAAGAACATGACCTTTCCCTTGATACTTTTAATTTTACCTTTGACCTTGGGAGTTTGATCTAAATGTTAAAGAAAAATTTACCATTGGCCACAACTTTTGAATGCTCAGTGCTTTGGCTTTTATATATCACTATGTTCATTGAGAAAAGTCCTTGTTTTGAGCTACAAAATTTTTCAACCTTGAAGTTCTACTTAAACCCTCGTCAAAAGCTGTCACACGGGGTATCAGTATTTCACAAACACATCTAAATTGTTGTCTCTTGCTTTCGGGAAAGCGAAGGGGCATTAAATCTCATTCATCTGTCCGTCCGTTGCAGTATGTAGTTCTAGCTGTCCATCTATCACAAAAACTTTAACCTTGGTCATATCTTTTGAATAAGAGAATGGGCTTTCATATTACACAGGTATATTACTTGTGACAAGACCGTTCTAAATACACTATGATTTTTGACCCGTGACTTTGACCTTGAAATTTGACCTACTTTTAAAAAATAAACATAACATTGAATTGGTCATGACTTCTGAATGAGAAGAGAGGACTTTCATATTAAACCTGTAAAACCTTTCTAAACACACTATGTTTTTTTATCTTGTGACCTTGACCTTGAAGTTTGACCTACTTCTTCAAAAACTTTTACCTTGGTTATGTCTTTAAAATAAGGAGACATTGGGCTCTTATATCCAACCTGTGTATTGCTTGTAACAAGACCGTTCAAAATACACTATGATTTAATCTTGTGACCTTGAAGTTTGACCTACCTTTCAAGAACTTTAACCTTGGTCATTACTTTTGAATGAGAAGACATATTAGAGATTTCATATTAAACCTGAATTGCTTGTGACAAGACCTTTCTAAATACATTATGATTTTAGCTCACCTGAACCGAAGGCTCAAATGAGTTTTTCTGATCAAAATTTGTCCATTCTCTGTCGTTGTTGTTGTCGTAACTTTTTCACATTTTCATCTTCTTCTTAAGAACCACTGGACCCATTTCAACCAAACTTGCTATAAAGTATCCTTGGTAGAAGGGGATTCAAGTTTGTTCAAATGAAGGGCCATGCCATCATCAAAGGGGAGATAAATATGTATTAGTGAAAAATTCATGGCAACTTTTAAAATCTTCTTCTCAAGAACCACTGGGCCAGGAAAGATGAAACTCATGTGGAAGCATCCTCAAGTAGTGTGGATTCAAATTTGTTCAAATCATGACCCCTGGGAATGGGGCGGGACCAACAATGGCTGATCAAAGTTTTTCAAAGGAATATATATAGGAAAAATCTTTAAAATCTTCTTCTCCACATTTATTGGGCCAGGAAAAAATAAACTAACCTCAGCTGAAGTAGATTCAATTTTGTTCAAATCAAGACCCCCGGGAGTAAGTTGAGGCCACAATGGACGATCAAAAGTTTTACATAGAATTACATAGGAAAAACCTTTTAAAAATCTTCTTCTCGAGATCAGCAAAGCCATTATTGGTGATATTAGTACGGAAACATCCTTAGGTAGAGTTACCGGGTAATTCAATTTTGTTCATATCATGAACCCTGGGAATAGGGTGGGGCCAAAATGGGCAATCATATGTTTTACATATGATATAGGAAATTCTTTTTAAAAATCTTCTTCTCAAGAACAGCAAAGCCATAATTGGTGATATTTCTAAGGGAGCATCCTCAGGTAGTGTAGATTCAAGATATATAGTGCATATCAGAACTCCTCAGGATAGGGTGGGGACACACTGTGGGATTAATTTTTACATATGAATATATGCTAAAATAGTAAAATATCTTTAAAAATTTTCTGCAGAACAGCAAATCCATGATTACTTATTTCTTATATGGAACTAATGGAAACATCATCAGATGGTTTAGATTCAGGTTTGTTCAAATCATGGCCTCGAGGATAGGGCGGGGCCACAATGAGGGATCAAAGTTTTGTATGTACATGTACATGTATAGGAAAACATCTCCAGAACAGAAAAAAAATTCTGTTAAGTCAAATTTACATGTAAGCATCTGCATGTACAGTTTGTGGTGATTTAAATTTATTCAAATCATATCGGGAGAGGGAGGGTGGGGTGGGATGGGGTGTCACAATGAAATATTTTTTACACAGTAATATATGTAGGAAAAATCTTCCTCTCAAGAACAACAAAGTCATACATTATGCTTTATTAATATGGCATTCTCAAGTAGTAGAAAATTCAATCCCCCAAGTAAACTTTTTAAAAGTTGAGCTGGTTTAGCCCATGTGCTCAGGTGAGCGATATGGCTCATGGGCCTCTTGTTAATCTTGTGACCTTGAAGTTTGACATGCTTAACAAAAATATTAATTTTTCCTTATAACTTTTCATTGAGAAGAAATAGGGCTTTCATATTTGACATGTGCATTACCTGTGACAAGATATTTCCGAGCATGCTACGATTTCTGACCCCTTGACCTTGACGATTGACCTAATTTTCAAAAAAATCAACTTTGGTGATTACTTCTGAGTGACATTTTATACAGTGTTGATATTTGACACAATATGCCATTAAAATTGACATCTCACCCACAAAGACACCGAAAGCGGGATTCCACAATTCATTGAATTTGCTTGTTAAAGTTAAAATAGATTATGTCTCATTTTGAGATTTGTGTACATGTACTAGGTGTTGGTTACATTAAATGCCTTATGGACACAATTCATTAGTCTTTGAAGACAATGAAAGGAAAGTAAAAATCATACTTTGTACATCTTTAATGAACATTCTTTGCTTTACAAAGTTCTAATCTGAACTTCACGATTAACTTGTCTCGGGATTTGGACAGTTTTATGGTCGATACAATGACCTTGTCAGCAAATACAATTTATCATGGAGTTAAATGCTGACTGACGTTTTTCACATTAATTGTTAGTCCATTATTTATACACTGAATTGACAACGGATGTTTCTGTCATTTCCCGATCATGACAAGGAGCACACGCCAGGTGCGATCGGTTGGCAGGGGATGCTCACTCCTCTATGGCACCTGATCCAACTTCTGATGTTTTGGAGGTCCGTGTTTATTCTGCTCCTATTTTGTATTGTTTTTATGGACTTTTGATCTGGAATACTGTTCTTTATCTCCATATGTTTCATTCAGGAAAACAGTAAAACTCAGTTATAACTTACTCACTGGGACCTGTGAAATTACTTCGCTATATCCATAATTCGTTATTTACGTATAAGGAATTTGTCAAATTTATAAGCTCAGGATCCAAGATAACTTCCCTTTATCCATTAACTCGCAATATCCGTGTTCGTTCTAAACGAGCTTTGCTGTATATTCAAGATTATACAATCTATAAAGTCATGGCCTTGAGTAATATGAACACAAGTTGCCACGCAACTAACTAACTACATGCACTGAAGTCTTACATTGTAACACAGCTCTGTTCATGAGCAAACTATGTCATGCACAATCCCTGTCTCTGATTTGTCTTTTTTTTTTACGTTGTGTCCTTAAGGGACTCTGACCCTCAGCCAGGAAGGACAACTCTTTAATTTATAATTTAATTCAAAAAGTCTTTAAATGAAGCTTGAAAATTAAATCTTTTCATGCAACAATTTTCGTTATATGCCTCTCAATGTGCTTCAAGGTTCTTTGAACTTCTCAGAAAGGTCTAATTAAAAGTAGAAATTTTTATCCCGAAAAAGCATTTTTAGATACCAATGGTTATTAACATGATATGAAATTAGAAGTGATTTATGGAGCTTTGCAAAGAACCTTGAAGCACATTGAGAGGCATATAATGAAAATTGTTGCATGAAAAAGTTTAATTTTCAAGCTAAATTTAAAGACTTTTTGAATTAAATTATAAATTAAAGAGTTGTCCTTCCTATATCATCATCCTCGCTTTAGGATAGTTGAAAATGAGATAATTCCTATATTTACATTCATTTGATTATGTAACTCAATATTAAACAGAAATGACAGGGCCTAAATTTTCAAGCACATTTATTTTAGAGACAAAGCAAAATTCATACATTAGGACCAGGAAAACAAAAACAAAACCAATGCAAGGGCATAAAAGACTGCAGGCGGAAAAATCCCCTGGATATGCAAAACATCTTTTTCAATATATTTAACAAATTGATAAATCAAGAATATAAATCCTTTTTAAAACAACACAAATTAAGTCAAGTTCAGAAGCATTCTACTCTACCTTCCAATGGCACATTATCAGTTGCCATGGTGAAATTAAATATCAACAATGACACCTCACATAAAAAAATACTAATAATACCGGTACTCTTTTTCAGATTGCACTTCAATCAATAAAGCAACCCAGGATTTAAATAAGTACATAAAGATTACAGAAAAAAATGTAAACACAATTTTAAACGGTTAATACATATTGGTCCTGCCAAGATATGAATAGTTATTTTCTGATAACTCCTACTTACATGTTAACAGTAAAGTGTTTAATGTCTACAGTGGCAATCCTGCCCCACAGACAAAAAAAATACCAAGCAAGGTATTGTCAAAACAATGCAAAACTACACAGCATTTTTACTACACCAACTCCAAGAATGTTCCCTTCAAATTATGAGCTTACTTATAGTAACAACATCATTTCAATTTTAAGGTGTGCAAGATGAAAAATAAAAATTGAGATTCCCACAGACACTAATAAGTAATAATGGTCCCTTAAGTCTCTCATTAGGAGTCCATCGTTAACATGTTACAGTATTCTGTGCAGAAAAGGTGAAAGAGGGCATAAATCTCTGATAGTACTGTAATCATTTCCCGGTGACTGGATGCTGACAACATCTGTCAAACTACTGGATTTATAAAACCATTTTCTTTGTTTATTCGATGGCCTTTGAAGGAGTTATCTAAGAACTAATGGTGCACACTCATCAAATGACTTTAGGAAGCTTCCTGAATAGAGTTTGTATTGGATAATGTAACATCTCCACCAAATAACAGTAGGAAGGCTCTGAAAAAAAGACAAAAATATATCCACACTAGTTAAGATATTGGAATTCATGTATAGAATGTGTACACTATACAAAATGAAGCAAGAAAAGTATGACACTATACTGTATACACCACAGGTTCGGCCATATTACATGACGTACAATGTATTTTTACTCTTGATTTAAACAGAAGTGAAACTAATAATCAACTTGTACAATGTCTTTTGCTCTTGAATTTTTAGTCTCAAAATTGGGAACAAAATGTTTTTTGGCATTGGGAATGGTAACGTTTATCGTTACCAGTTATAAAAGGAAAAAAATGCTGGTTTTACTCTTACCATTGTCTGGGTTAATAATATTGTGTCGTATTAAAAAGTCCAAAACAATGGCCGCACTGTTCGGTTTGAAGGAATCGAGAACAATGGTATCTTGTAACTGAAAAGAAAGTTGGAAAATCATACTTTTAATGCTATATATAGATTAACTTATTTATTAATCTAATAAACTTAAATTTCAGAACATTTTTAGTACCACAAGAACTTCTTTCTTCAGAAGTACATGAGAGTTTCAAATAATTATCATGAAAGAATAATTACTGATATTTCTATCCACAAGTAATTCATACAAAAAATAATAAATCACCTCTGAGACAGGGTACAGTTTAAACTCTTGCACTTCACCATCGGCATTGACAGGTACAAAGTCCTCGGGAAGCTTGAGGTCAAATAGAAACTCCACTTCTGGATGGACGCCTCTCTCATCTTCATGTATACAGCTGTCAATCAAAACACACAAACTGAGCGACTATTTCTGAGACAACTTATAAACACTGTCACATGGTTATTACAAGTATTTAAATGCTGAGTAATGGTATATTCTTTTGAACAACTAAATTATTACCTCATGGTTCCTACAGACTTGAGGATCTTGAGGTACTTCTCTGGCACCGAAGCCTCCTCCTGGCATTCCTTCTCCGCACACTCACGGAAACCCAGACCAGAACTGAGACCCCCCGCCACCTATAACAACATAAATATAGAACCTCATGAATCACACTCCCTGAATCCCAGACCAGAACTGAGGCCCCCCGCCACCTATAACAACATTAATATAGAACCTCATGAATCACACTCCCTGAACCCCAGATCAGAACTGCATGAGACCCCCTGCCACCTACAGCAAAAGCCTTTATTTAGAATAGTAAAACCAATGAAAATACATGTTTATTTCATTTATATTTCTGCGCTCAATAAGCCATATGTTTACTTTCTTACTAGAAACACAATTCAAAATCTCTGGACTAAGACAATAAGACACTATAATAGTGCCTTTAATGGTAATCTAAATTTAGAACCTTTCAGTCTGCTTCTTAACTTCTAATTCATATATACATCAATAATTTATTTTAAACAAATTATAAATGTGGAAGCTTTGCACTAATCTATGCAATATTAATGTATACAAAAATTATTTATCAGAAAAATTGTGCTAAATTCTGAGTTCAATAATTTAAATAAATGTGTACCTTACATGTAAACTAAACAAATGGCATCCTATCTCTCCCTAACCTGGGTACGTCAAGTAGTTTTTAAAATATTTTTATGCAAATTTGTACATTATTTGAATATATTTTTCATACGAATCAGAGTGTATACCAGTAATAGAATCTACCATTAATAAAATATTTAAAACAAATCACTGGATATTAAATTTTTGTACCTTAATTCGTAGAAAGTGTGAATATGATAATTTTCCATCAAGAAAGTCCAGCACTTTTATCTGACACTTTACTTAACCTACCATCTGGTCTAGGAGATTGGGATATGTCTGTTTGGTCGGTGATCTCTTTGCTATCCACATCATCATTTCTCCGTTTTTATATGTGTAGCCATTTATATGACACCCATATGTCGTCACGCCAAATGGACCTGAAAAATATTGACAAGATGAACATGATGAATAAAGTATTATAAATCTAACACTGCATTTATGTACTGCATGAAAATTCAAAAAGACATTACAAGTTTCAGCTTTTTAATCCTGTTAATGTACTGCAAATCCTGATATTGCAACAAACAAAATGTCAAAGAGCATACATGGTGGCAAATTGACCTTGGAATACCACTTTTTTTCATAATTACATGTATGCTCTAAATTTTTTTTGTCTTGACTTCAAGATTAATTGATGTAACATGAGTAGGAAACATGTTGCCACCATGAATATATATTTTAAAATCCTTTACACAATATACTTACCAGCAGCAGATCTCTCCATTTTGAACAAAACAGGTTCACTCATAGAGTGTCGTATATTGTAGGTCTGAAATACAGGGAAAATGCAAATCATAGATTAAAACAGCTCTTAGTCTATATCTTGTATTATTTTTTAGTACTTTACTTGTAAATGAAGATTTCAACCAAGTATAAAAATTATGCTCTAATACAAAAAAAATCAAGAGACTGTAAAAAAGAGCTGTCAGCTTATATCTACTGGGTGTCTCTCAAAGAAAATAAAAATGCATTGTTTTTTTAAATATTGTAAAAATAATTATACATTTAAATACAACACAAAAATACTAAAGTCTTTATAATATAAACACATATGTCTTTTTAATTTTAAATTTCATGTGATCTTTTCTCAACGAAACTCAAGATAAAATGAAAATACAACAAACATTAAGCTGTATAAATACTTGTGTATTGTGCATGTTACAGAGCAATTGTCTTTGAATAAATGGTGGATGTTTACACATTCATTAATATCCTGTTATCAATTATTAATATACAGCCAATACCTGTATGTAATGTGATGTAGAGTAATATCTACACGCATAGTGTGCATCATTTCCCTTCATACTCTACTTATTGATAAAACAATTAAGTCTGTAGCTTAGAAGTGATCATGGTCCCTCAACATGTACGTGTACCTGTGTATTTTGTACCATTAATTACCTCATTTCTCCATCCTTTCAGTGACCTGTGGAGTTTCCCGGTGTTTCTGAGGGATTCTAAGAATACCCGCATGACCTCCGTCCTCTCCTCAAATGTGCTATACTTGTTACTGAGGTGGATGGAGGTACTGCTAACTGTGAACAGGTCACTATGTTCCTGTAATAGCAGGGCTACCTCGGGGGTGACGATTCCCACCTGATCGTTCTCCACATAAAATGGCACACATTCAGAACGGCTGGAAGCTGGGAAGAGAATATATTTATATATGCGTTATGTGTATATATACATATATCTATCTACTTAAACTGACAATCAATCAATAAAATATAGAGATTAAAGCACACAAATAATTGGATTTTGATGGGGGGGGGGTGGGTGGGGAGAAGGTGAAGATCAAGATAGACCACATAAAATTATATGTATTTTTTTTAATCCATGCAATTTAAACTTATTGTACATAAATAAAAAACAACTGTGCATTTTAATTGCTCTGACATTTATGTGTATAGAAATATAAGATAAATGTATCATTTAAACATCTTTTAATAAAATACAGCTCGTAAGAGCTGAAGTTTGGTTTCTACAACATTGATATCTCAAATACCATAGAAATATAAGGACAGATTTTGAAGTCGATCACTTTCCTTTCAAAAATTTAACCTACATATATCGGATAAACATGTATGGTATTTTAAATCCTCACACATGGGAAATATTTTCATTGAGTATTTTAGTTCGAGATAATGAGGATTAAATAAATATCAAACATACATTATTTTAGATATGATAATCATTTGTACTTACTTGGAAGCAGAAAGTTGTTAATTCTCTCCACCACCTTACATAGGTTAACTTTCTTAACAGGCATAATATGATTAACACAATTGAGATTCATGTTCGAAGAAAGGCTGAATATCTGTTGTTATTTTCAGCAGGCTTGCTTCTTCAAGTTTGAATCCTGTCTTAACAGGAATAAGTCAAGATTTTCTTTTATGTCATCATTTCTTCTCATAAACTGTTGGTGCTCAATGCCTGAAATCAGAAAATTAAAATTTAGATCTTAAGTCATCTATTTTTCATAAATTACATGTTAGCATGATATTTATTAAATGAGAATCACATTTAAAATATTTGTAATTGTAAAGGGGTTCTGTTTTACATTGCAAGGTCCTCTAAGTAAATATCTGGTGCAAAATAACTTTTATAGTTACATCTAAGATGTTGAATATAATGAGTCTAAATGACACTGCATCTTCTCGGGGTTTGACATGATCAAGATGATGGGCAAGTGTTACAGTTAGGTTAAAAAAAAAAGCAAGCCTCAGTCATTTCAATTTTGATAATATCATTAAAAATGTCCCTCTCACGTTTTAATAAGACCTTGATTTTTATGAATTACATGCACAAGATGCAAATAATACTGATTTTTAAAAGCCTACTCCCTCTACCATACATATTAAAATCGAATATGGAATTTTTTTTACACGTTTTATTTTCAACTCAAAAATTCATGCCACTTGCCCTTCGTTAGGTCTTATAATTCATCTAATAAAATGTGACAACTTCTTTTGAAATAAATTTATCTGTTTACATGATTTACATACATGATCACGTGATAATTTAATTATGTAATGGTTTGGGCCGTGGATATCGGCCTGGATAGCTCAGTTGGTAGAGCACCTGACTAGAGATACAGGGGTCCAGTTAGGTTTTAAAAAAAAGATTCCCGGTCATTCCAGCCATACATTTTCTCCTTTCCTGTTACAGATTTGGTGCCGTGACCAGGAGGGAGGAATGTAATGGTTTGGGCCGTGGATATCGGCCTGGATAGCTCAGTTGGTAGAGCACCTGACTAGAGATACAGGGGTCCCGGGTTCGATTCCCGGTCCAGCCATGCATTTTCTCCTTTCCTGTTACAATTAAATTTATTGCTACACTCAATAATACTTATATATTTGTAGATCTTATATACTTCTTTTACTGCTGGTGTACAGTTATGTCTACAGTATTGTGGGAAAAATACGCCTCATCAGCATAATTTAGAAAAAAAAATTACCGTAACTGAAATTAGTCGTTAATATGGAGAACGCATCCTTGAATTCCTAATTCAATAACAAAACCCAGCTCTTCGGGGACGCGTAAACTAAAGTTCCGGTGACAGGTGTCAAGTGAGCTCTGGTTTAAATTACTAGATTTTTATTGCCAGCTGCTGTCAGTCTTCTATTGTCAGCGTTTCTTTAGAACCAGAAAAAATTGGTCTGCTCCGGACTGTTTTCCCCGGAAGGTCTTTTTTTAAAAGGTATTAGCTAGATCGTTCTTCAAACCATTCGGGTTTCTAACACAAAGACCAATCCAAGTTTACATGCATCTTTCAACTATTTTTTTTTAATTTCAAGCTCACCGGGATACATTGTGTCGACATAAAAATGGAAATAACTATATTGATAACTAAATAACATATTTACGTCGAGGATACCGGTATATCTAGGCCACAGTAATTTTTAAAGTAATTTAACAGGTCTATCACTTCTAAACAAGGAACATATTTTAACTGTATGAGAACCGATGAATTGCTATTAAACACAGGGGGGGGAATAAACAAGGAAAACAGGCTAATTGGATTTTTTTTCTCAAAAGTCTACCTAAGGCAAAATCTCAAACCTCTTTAGTTGTATATGTACATGTACATATGAAAAAAGAGAAAGACAAAAAATCAGCTCATTATCTTCAAGAGAGAAAAATAAAACTACATTGTTTTTTTAAGTTTTTTGCAATAAAGATCTTTTTAAGTCGGGGTAATACCCCCCCCCCCCCCCCCCCCATCACAAACTTTTTGTAAGAGTCTTGATATGAGGTTCATTTTAATATTTATATTTATGAAATTCATGTATCCTTTTGAAACAAAACTTTTGCATACAGAAAAGCTCTAAATATGTTTTAAAGTTGTGGAATAAAAAACCGGTATATTTCAGAGTTGTGTTTCTTTGAGTTCATGTATGGATACCAAGTTTTATTGAAGTCAGACAAAAACATGTAAATGTACATATAGTATAGTGTACAACTGTGACCTTTATTATAAGGTTTGTTGGTATCAGATTAATTTAAATATATACACATGCAAATCAAGACTGAATTTCTATTAAATACTTGTGTCTTGTGGCGTAGCAATCGGTCATTGACTATTAAAAGATTGTAATTATTAAAAAAAATATTTTCGATCTATCATTTTGAGTGGAATTCATGAAAGTTGGAGAATATACCGGGTATATCTGGGCGGAAAAGAAATCACAGATTTATATTTCAGATATGTACTAGTACTTCTTAATAAACCAAGACCCAAATGCAAGTATCTGAGAACATAATCAATATTCTAGTTTACTTTATTTAAATTCTGAAATAAATTCAAACAGACAAGCAACCCCTTTTCTGAAGTTTATGCAAGGATCGAACCCAAAAGTATCAATTTTTCACTGACAAGTGATGCCACTGAGCAACAATGACAACAAAGTGCATCACATTAATATACCGTGTTACATATTTGCTTTTTATGTCCCGTAATCGAAGACTCGGGGGAATGTAGTTTTCGTTGTGTTCGTCCGTCCGTCTGTTGACCTAGCTGTCTGTGTGTCCGCAAAAAACTTTAACCTTGCCCATAACGTTTGCTTTAGTGGGCTATGAATTTCATATTTCAAATGTGTATTCCTTATGACACGACCACCAAATTTGATCTTTTTCCCTTGGAGTTTGACACACGTTTACACAAAAATTCAAATCTTTTACTTTGGTCATAACTTTTGAACGGTAAAAAATTGGACTTTCATTCTTCATAAATTTATTCTTTGTGACAGTATCTTTCTTTGGGTAACACCAAATTTGACCTCTTGATCTTGACCTTGGAGACCTACGTACTTAAAAAAAAATTAAAACTCGACCATAACTTTTAAAAAGTGAGGGCTAGGGCTTTCATACATCACATATGTAATCCTTTACTTAAAACTCGGCATGAAATACTCGGAAGTCTCTGGTTTTATCCTACACCTATAACCCCAATCGGAGGTAAATGTATCTTCTTATAAGATGTCTTAATTTGTATCGAAAAGTTTTCATCTTACTTCTACAGATTTTTTGTTAAAAAAATCTTTTTAGGAAAAAAACAAAAGCACGTGTTATCTGAAATGATTTTTGTTCTTTTAAAATATTTTATGTAGGGTGTGTAATATATTAACAAAATACGAACTTGAATTGGACAAAAAAATAATTACGTGTACTTGATGGTAAATATTATAGCAACTTTGCCTGGTGTGTGTTAGACTCTTTGATATTTTTTTTTTTATTTCAAGCTCACCGGGATACATTGTGTCGACATAAAAATGGAAATAACTATATTGATAATGAAATAACATATTTACGTCGAGGATATCGGTATATCTAGGCCATAGTGAGTGTTTTCTTTTTTCACGTAATTCTTTTTTTGATAAATTCTTCTTTTAACATAAAAGATTTTGAACACATTCTGCGTCATATAAATACAAAAATATGTCGGCTATTGAGGGGGCGCAAATTGTACCCATAGGAATTTCAATACACTGTAGATTATTGGAAGACCTGGTCTCCAAAAATGAATATCAGCAATATCGTTTAAAGTCATCACTTCGTAGGTTCTATGGTCGATACAATGACCTTGTCAGCAAATACAATTTATCATTGAGTAGATCGTTATAGATAGTTTGGAAGATTTTTCTTAAATTGCAAAACTTTAATTAAACATTCATACAAATTACTAGTATTAGTCCATTATTCACTTGTGAACTGAAGTGACGACGAATTTTTTCGTTATTTCCTGATCTTGACAAGGAGCACAGTCACACGGCGGGTGTGACCGGTCGGCAGGGGATGCTCACTCCTCTATGGCACCTGATCCTACCTCTGGTGTTTTGGAGGTCCGTGTTTGCTCTGCTCTTATTTTGTATTGTTTTATGGACTTTTGAGCTTGAATGCTGTTCGTTATCTCCATATATTTCATTTCCAAACACAGTTTTGTTGGATTATTCATCAGTTTTGAAACACAACAATTTTTCAGTAGGATTATCATGCTCACTCTACTCAAATGAAATCTGGAAATCGAAAACTTTTGGAACGTGTATGTAAATGTATTTGCCAAGTATGTTGATTCTGTTTATATATGCACATTTGAGATACGCGTTCCGTCTCTCTCTCTCTCTCTCTCTCTCTCTCTCTCTCTCTCTCTCTCTCTCTCTCTCTCTCTCTCCTAAAAAGGGTCTTAACAGGCACGTAGCAACGAGGGGGGGGGGAGGGGGCAGGGGGCCTGACCCTCCCCCACACTTTTTTCCCAACAATACTTTTACTATTTGAAATGTTCAGTGAAAGGTTCCCCCCTCCACTGGCACTGTATACTAAAGGAAATTGATTTTCGAGTTTGGGCAATTTTCCTTTTTTTTTTGCTTGTCAACTTTTTCAAGTAAGTAAAAAAAAATTCTCTGGCTGGCCCCTCCCCCCCCCCCCCCCACTTTCAAAAACGATGCTATGTGGATACTTAAAAGGGGAGAGGTATATCATAATATGTATATTCTCCAACAATGAAAACTGAAGAACATCACAATATCCTTTAGATATTAGAAATCACTGAATTTTACAAATTTTCATACATGTATGTATGTGCTAGAAATGCTTATGTATTATTTTTGACCCGGGGAAAAGAACATGAGGAAGTAGATACGAGCAAATTATCAGGAAAATAAGTTTTGTGCATAATGAAAAGACATTTCTTTATTTACTAAAATAGAATAAAATAAAATTAATGTTTAATAAAATAAAATAAAAGTAAATAACTTTTTTCAAAGACTTCAAAATCGTAAATTTTAAAGCCCCTCTGTGATTCAAGAGATTGAAGGCGCGGATCAATAAATGGACAGGTAAAGGTATCTTCGCATTTCCGTTTTGCGCAGAACCGGAAGTGTCTTCAATTAAAAGAATGGCGGACTCCAGCGACAAGTTTTATAAATCATAATTTATTTGAATATTCTAAAACTTTTTAAAATGTAAGCTGTTTTTCAAACAATGTCACGGTAAGTAACATTATTATTCACATCAATTTTGTAAATGTTCATATGTTTCCAAGCACATACAAACCACTTTAAGTATTTGTTTATATTCCAAATATTTCATTGATATTAGCTTATGATTCATGCATATGCCGCTTTGCCTTTGTTATCTAGTCATGCATAGATAATGATTTATTAGTTTATACTTGTAAAACCATTGCTATTTTAGCAATTGTATATACTTTACATCGTCCATTTGATTTTTATATATGTGAATTCTCAAATAAATTCGCAAGAACAACCGAGACACAGGACTGTTTTTGAAAAAGGGGGGGGGGGGTAGCAATAGCAGTAATCATTTAGCAGTTTCAGTGTTGTCACTAACTGACTAAGAATTGAAGTAGTAGGGGACATTAAGAGAGTAGAAGGGGGTATGGAATTCCTCTCCAAACAGGGAGTGAGGAGGAATACCAAAATAAAGGGGCAAGTACATCATTATAGACAGAGAAATCCCTGGGACAACCCTGACTTTATGCTATTTTTTTCCAAAACCTAAAGTTTTTGTTTATGGAAATGCACTTTTTACAGTTAAAATATATTAATTTCATTTTAATAGTACACCCATAAGCCAGTTTTACACTTCTCAGTTTGTCGACATATAAAAAGTTGAGAATTAAAATTATTTTTAGTTCAGAATCATTTTCATTTAATAAAGATGTTTATTTTTCTAAGTAAAATTGATTTGATTTAATTTTTATTAATTCTCACATTTACAAATGTTTATTTCCAATATCATAAATTATTGATTGTACCTGTAGTTATTATAATATTTTTCAAAAGATGAAAAAATAATTGAAGAAAGAATGCTACAGCTACAAAAAGAAATGAATATATGATCTATATGAAATCTGAGTCAGGGACAAAAATATTTATAATTGATTAAGAGAAAATCAAGTAAATACAGTATTACATGCTGATGATGTAGATATATGGCATTGACTTGTGGATGATGATATATATGAAAGTTACCTCTCTTTTTATATAGTAATATTGTAGCTCTAGATTAAAATGCTCCCTGCTTTAGACTGCATATATTATTATATAATGAATTAATTCTCTGGATTACTGGTATTTCAACAGAAATGCTTAATCAGAATTTAGCTAATTTAATTTAATGTATTGATAAATGTTATTGATGCACAAAAGACAATTTCTGCATGTCACT